TCCGTTGTGAGCTTAATCTGTGGAAAAGAAAGAGAAAGGATGAGATGGAGATATATATAGAGAGACAGAGAGAGATAGGGAGGGAGAGATAGAGAATAAACATAGACATACAGACAGAGAGGTAATGATAGAGGGAGAGAGAGAGAGAGGAGGAGGAGAGCGAGGTATATATATCGAGAGAGATAGACAAAAGAAACAGAGAGAGAGAGAGAGAGATTTATGTATCGAGAGAGAAAGAGCGAAAGGTACAGAGAGAGAGGTAGATATATGTATAGAGGAAAACAATGATGTAGAGTGAGATGAAGAGAGATAGCCAGAGTGTGCGACTGATATAGACAAAAAGAGAAGACGAGAGAAAGAGAGAGAGAGGAGACTAGTTATTTTCTTGAGTAACTGTCTTGATTGCGAGAGGTGAGCATGCTTAGATCGTTATGTTTGCCAGATGGTGGGGGACAATAACAACTTGATAAATTCTTGTTATTTACTCCTGCAATAATATAATAATTTAATAATATTTGCATGTGCGAAAACAACAACAGGATGAATCGCAGTTGCAATTGGGACTGCGGCTGCGACTGCGACTGCGATTGCGACTGCGACAGTAACTGCGAGTGGAGTGGGGCCTGGGGTCTGGGGCTCAGGCTAAGGCTGGGGCTAGGGTTGGGGTTGGGGTTGGGGTTGGGGTTGGGTTTGGGGCTGGTGTTGGTACGATGACGCGCTTCGGCTATCAAGGTTAAGACAAGCAAAACAAAATGCTAGTAAGTGAACAACAAAAGCGCTAAAATCCACAAGCTACAAACATCACAACAGCAACAACAACAACAACAACAATAATATTAAGAGGCCGTTCATATTGCGCATACGACGCGTGTGCTGCGCAAAAAAATGAAATCAAAACAGATGCGAAGCACAAGAAAAATTTGGTAATAATAAAATAAATATTACTTTAATTGGCCTTGCTCAACTAGCAGATACCCTAAATAGCTTATAACAAGAAGAGAGAGAGAGAGAGGGAGAGAGAGAGAGAGAGAGAGAGAGAGGGAGAGATGGAGAGGGAAAGGGGTGAATATGTTAAGATATTCTAAGATCCTCTTGCAGTCTCTTGTAGTCCGAAAAGTGAGAGATTATTTAGTTGTGGTGAGTAAGAAGCGAGAGTTACCTATTTGTGGATATATACGTATATTGAGCCTAAAAACTTTAATAAATATATTCTATAGAATAAAGAAGAAATGTTCTGTGGATTCTAGATGAAAACGGGCCAGCTTAGATGTATTCTCTTCAGCTATACGCTTTCTGCTATATGCATTTGCTTGAAATCATTATACCCTGTCCATACATGGACTTAGGGTATGCAAAAAGTGGGCCCGTTTTGCTACCGAACGTGCCCCCAAATACAAACGCATAACTGCGCACAACTACACACACACACACACACGTTCGTTCACACATACATTACAATTGCTGTTGATGGAGCTTAGAAAATCGCATTGGTGTCATGTAGTTGGCAATATGTAACTATTTATGCCACAATCTCTGCTGCACGCGCCTCCAATTGAGTCACTTGCTATGCCAGCCAGAGAGTAATAGACACACACACACACACATAGACACTCATATTCTTACAATCTTGCTCAGCAACGAGTTACTTGGGTATACGAGAGTCATTCATCAAGTTGTTTTGTTCGCCACATGACAACAACAACAGCAACAAGTTCGACACGTTGACAACAAGAACAGATGATCCTAGGAATATATAGACCTTATAGACACATCTATATAGACTATTTATATGACGGCATACTTACTTTCTACCAAAGCGTAAACAAAGTGCTCACTCAAATCGAAATAATAAACAGTTATCATAAGATAATGCAACAACCGCTTTTTCCTGGATTAGTTGAAGTCATTTTAAAATATGATTCCACGAGTGAAATCACGTTGTAACATGTTTTCACGGGTACTGTTTCACTCTAATACTCGACTCTTGGATTCAACTGATCTAAGGAACAAACGAAATTCGAAAAACGAAAGAAAAAAACATATGATGGAATTTATATGGGTCCAGTTTAAGGAACATGGTTTGTCATTGTTACTCTTGTGACTATCATTAGCATTAGAATTGGCATTAGAAATAGCGGTGACAGTACCATTATAATTTGATAGTAATATTTATAATAATTTTGATTTTAATAATAATTAGCATTGATTATTAGCATAAGCAATAGCATTTCCATTAGCAAGAATATTATTATGACTATCAGCATGAGTATTGCCATTTTCATTAGCATTAGTATTAGAATTTGTTAATAATATAAAGATATATCGTAGTCGTAATCATTACCATTGACATTAGCATGAGAATTAGCTTGGCGCGAGTAATATTAATCATTATTATTATCATTATTACCATATATTACCATATTTTAGTTCAAATTTGCCTACGTAAATATTTATTAGGGCATTTCCAGGTCGTCTAACGCTCTCGCCTTCCCCATCTGCATCTTTCTTGTCGGGCTCTTGATTATTCTGTTTACTTACGTATTTCAAACTTAATTTAATTTGATTGAAACGCCCCCTGACATCAGATCGTCGCACTTACATATGCACCAGATGATAATGTCTTAAAATAGTCTTCTTTTTGTATTGCCAAGTCGAAAATAAAATAATGTAATACAAATATTATATTACACATAAACAAATATTTATATGATGTTAACCATATCAATATTTTTGTATGATTGAATTGTTTTCTGTTTATTAAATGAAATACATATAGAAATAAAATTATGAACATATATGTATGTATGTAGAGTATATTCCCTCTATCTAAACGCCACTTGAGTAGTGACAGGAAACAGGAAAGTTCTGATATGGCATTTAGTACAGGGGAGATAAGTTTTGCTTTACCTGTTTACTTGGTTACACGTTGTGATTGTTGAGTGTAATTAACACTACTTTGTGGTAAGCTATGAATGACTAGCACTAAGAGCTGACTACTTGTTGTTTACCCCATGTATTGGGCGATCATTAAGATTTACTAACTTGTTTACAAGATGCCCAAGTTGACTTGCTTGTGCAGCTATCCTTGACACGGTGGCCCGTCTGAAGGCAGCGTGAAGGTCACAGAACACTGACCCACTGCGAGAGGCTACTCTCACAGGCACACACACACACATACACAGTTACATATTACATGATGTTCTGGGCATATCCAGCGATTGAGTCAAGCGGCCAGTACATTGACATTGGAAATACATACAAAAGAGAATGCCTATGAGCTCGCATATGTGTGCGTGCGTGTGTGTATTCGCATCGCGTGATCGCGATAAGCCGCTTGGCGAGCAGCGAATCAAAGGGTGGCCAGGGAGGGAATGAGATGGAAGAATGTTTGCTAAGTAGCCCACATGTAACAGCAAAGAGAGCGCAAGAGCGAGCGCGCGAACAAGAGAGTGCAAAGAGCAAGGAGCAAAGAGCGTTGTAAAAGAGTTGCGGCTCTTACGCGGCAGTACAAAAGGAGCACACGAACAGGCAATGGAAAGATCTGGTAAATAAATATACATATGTACATAGTTGGGGAAGTGTGTGGGAAAAACCTGCAGTCAGACTTATCAGCAATTATGATGATGATGATGCTGATGATATTGACGCCGATAGATATTATATCAGCCAATGCAGACATTAAGGAATGGCAACGAGCATTCGGGCTACTCTTCCAGGAAATTGATGTTCCAGCGGGAAAGTAGGCAAGGCGGTAAGAAAAAAAAAACCAAAAATAAAAATTACCGCCAGGAAAAAACAGCAAAATGTGCACATCATGTTGTCCAGGTGTCCAGATAAGCGCAATGAAATACATGGTTTTTTTCTAATATGATAAAAATGAAATAAATATATTTATATATGTCAACATGCGTTTTGTTTGTGTTGACCGAGTATGTGTGTGTTCAGGTAGAAAAAATATTGCTAAAATTCAAGAAGCAGAAGAAGATGAGAAGGAAGCGCGTATGCGTCAGAGCCGCATAGTTTGTATTTGTCCATCTAATGCGTTTTAAGATATTATGCGATATACTAAGCATATGGCGCCATATACCAATACCAACATACACGACAGCAATACTAATGTACATACATATGTATGGCTATATCGGCATAGGTACTTTTGTACTCGAGCGTGTTTTTTGAAATGATTGGAAATCATTTATTTTTTTCATTTCGGAAATTGCGTATTTAGAAACAAGTTGTTTATCGGCAATATTGTTTCACACATTGTTTCATTAAAAAAAGAAAAAAGGAAAATGCATAACATTTAATTGACAATTTTTTGTGTTGTTTGGAAATGGACTTTAGCTATGCGAAAAAAATAATGATCTATTTTGGACTGGGCTGATACTAGAGTATTTTTGATTTATCATGCTCTGCCTGCATAGACAATGAATCATTGGCTTATCCCTTCGCAATTTTAGGCCGTATCAGTTGGCTTAGATAACGTATTACGTTTT